ATCCCCATCTCAGACATGAATGGCTCGGGGAGTAATTTTATGGGGAGTTAATATTTGGAGAAAGGGGATCATTTGGGGGAAATCTAGATTCTGCTGTTTACAGTCATTATTTTTATATCCCAGAATGTCAGATATAGCCTATAAATACATATATATTTATATAAATGTAAGTCCAGAGCTTCTCACAGATGAATAATAAAGACTTCTAGACTGTTACCCATGTTGGGGAATAATAATTAAAAACAAAGTCTTCTCCCAACCCAGAAATCATCTTCACAAAGGTAGTGGAGAAAGAAAACATTTTTTTATTGAATGGATTGCATCACAAGCAGTCCATTAACAGACTGCAAGACAGAAAGGTATGTCACCCACTTAACATAGCCAAGCTGATTCAACCAAGCTGATTCATGTTTTCAAGATAAATGACAACTAGTCCCTAAATGAGAGGCTTTACAACACCTTATGTCACACACAGTTCATCCTAACTTTGCCTGGTAATGGAGGTAAGCATCTTTTAGCTAATTGACCTTATCCAGAAGAGAAACAAACTTATCTTATGACAAGAGGTAGTTTTGCAACTTGGAGCAAGACCCCCCACCCAAGTTAGACTCCTACCTACCTGCAGTAACAGGAAGATAGGGGTGCTATCTCCTGTGATGTTTACCTTTCAAAGAGATGGTTCTCAGGTCCTTGAGAAAGACATTCTTGATCATGAAGCTGACAAAAAAGGCCTGTTTAGTTTTGAAAAGGGTATACAGTTGTCCCTTGGTATCTGCAGGGGATTGGTTCCAGGACCTGCCACAGATTCAGCTAACCTCAGACTGCGTAGTGCTGTATGAATTTATTGGAAAAAAAAAAAATCCACGTATATGTGGACCCGTGCAGTTCAAACCGAGGTTGGTGAGGGTCAACTGTATATACATTTCAAAGAGAGGAGAAAGCACTTAACATTTAAAATTTTTCTAAAGTAAGTGTCCTAAGAAAAAGGGAGGGAAATTTTACTTTACTTTCAAGGGGGATAATTAAGCCTCTTATCTTTAATTAGTATTTGCCCTTGCATCCTCTTTATTTGCTTCTATCTTAAAAATAAGGACCTTGATCTTACTAATCTTACAGTAGCATTATGATAAACAGAAGCGACTTTAAATGCACTTGTAAATTTGGTTTTATTCCAGTTTAAACTGAACTGTAATTTAGTCTTATTGAACGTAAAAATGGTTCAATTGTACGTAAAAGTTGGGCGTTTTTAAAAGTGGAGTAGTGGCGTCAGGAATTCAGCATAAGGTGACTTTGACAAAATCACCGTTTTAATGCCAAACAGCCTTGATGTTAGGCAGCTGAAACCAGGAAATAAATGATATAAATGTGAACCCAAGCAAAGTTGGATAAAGAATATTCTTGCGGGGGGTGGAGTATGTGTTTTCTGGGGTCAGAGGTGTTTTCTTTTTTCTTTTAAACCTTGCCACAGTTAAAATTCCAAATTTCTCTAGACTGCCCCTCAACAGAAATCAGGGGTGAGCACGATTTGATTATCATTTTTATAATGGTAACTTATATAATTCTGTTCAAGGACTCATAATCTAGCAATGGGGTTACTTTACTCAGACGGTGATTTGTTTTTAGTCTTTCCCCTCCCTCGTCCTTCTACTTGTCCTCACTTGATATGTTTTGCTTTTCCGAGCCCTGTTAATAAGCGGCCCTGCGTGTGTAGCCCGGAGCCGCAGGTGGGTCCCTGTCCGTGTTACTGTGGTGATGCTCCTTTGCCCTCCCATTATCTGTGTGGTGCATTATCAGGTGCCCAGCTCCACCTCACACACCTGCTGGGCTCATTATTTACTCTCAGATACGCAGTTTTCCATCCACCACTTCCTCCTTAAAGAGAGGTCTGGGGGATCCCCCTCAGTGGCTTTATGGTTCCTGGCCCACTGTGGCGACACTGCACACATTCTTGCCCTGGGGAGCTACATCCTCCCTTCCCACTACCCTAAAGTCTCGTTCATTTCACAGCGACCAGCTTGTCAACAGTTACTTTACAGGCCACCTAGTCACCTTGACCGTCTCAGCTTTGTGACCGCGACGATCCCACGCTTTGATCTTTCCTGACTGATACGTGTTACATATTCCTTGTTTCTTCTTGAAAGAAGGGTACTCTCACTCTTTTAATCTTGCCTATGGATTGAACTGAAAAGCAATAGCTGCCTAGCCGAGTACTGCTAGGAAAATTTACCCTTTTCTCCTTTCTCCTGCCTCCACTACCCCTGAGGGGTTTTTTGTTTGTTTGTTTGTTTTGTTTTTTTACAATATTGCTTCCTGTCAGTCTCTCAAACAGGACTGTGCTGAGATTTCTGGAGGACAACCTTTAACTCTTTCCTGTACACTATGTGGAAAGAATACCAGTGTTTAGAATGCTGGAACCATAACCGTGCAGCATTTCTAATTTTCCTATTAGGAGTCTCTGCATGGAAGTAAGAATTGAAAATTCTTATTATATAAACTGCTAAATTATGAAAGTTTTTTCCCCAGTATTTCTGTCTTTAGGAAATCTGGTCCACAGAGAGTACCTTGTCTAACTAGCAAAGAAATTAGGTAGAAATCCAGCCAGTTAACACTGCCATCTCCACTCTTTAATATTAAACATATTTCAGGATTTTTTGGAACCTCAAGCCATTGACTACATGCTCACTGTGGAGTAAGCTCAGTGTCCCATGTCACCAACTATTCTATGAGACAGGAAGTGAGTTAGAATTTAAAGATAATGTCTAACATTAGGAAAACTTGCTTTTTTCTCATTAAGATTTAAAAATTCTCATCTGCATACATAGAGTTCAGCTGGTAACCATCTTATTCTTTACTATTTCTGATTTTCCCCTTGTATGGCTCTCAGACCTCACGAGCTTATATCATGTGAGCCTTTCTCTGAACCTCTGAGTTGTTTCACTAACAGAATGGGCCATGGGTGGCTGTTCATCGAAGCTCACTGTGCATGTGGAATCACCACCCCGTGAATGGATGTTGGGATCTAAAATGTCCTATCAGCAAAACATGGCTGCTGCTGAGTCAACTTGCCGTGCCCTAGAAGCACAGAGGGCCCCCTTGAAGATAGCCCTGCTGGAAACTGCCGAGGGTGTGTTACTTGGGTGGGCTTCTCTTGAATTAGAGAAATGTGTGAGCCATAATGGCTACAATTGTGCTTTTCATAGAGCCAAGTATATGGCTTGTTGATTAATATATAATGGGTTGTTTATCTTGGAGTTGTTTGTATTGGCAGATGCCCTGCCAAGATTCAAAGGCTGTCTGTAGATGAATAATGCCCTCATTGTTTATTCAACGCCTGCTTTTCTACTTAATATGCAGCTATCTTGGGAAAATTTCTTGAATATCAAATCACAAGTAAAATTTAAGCAGTTTTCCCCCCAGGTTTTCAAATAGGCCATTTAACTATGACTTATTCTCAGATGCCTCTGATGATTTGGATGTGTGTAGCTGGAGGGGGAAGGGGAGAAGGGAATGAGGCCCAGAAGTTTGCCATCTAACTGATCCGTCACAGATAGCTTGAATACATTCAGGTACATTTCTGGTTGATTGTGTGTCTAGCACAAGTTAGCTGCTGAGCATTCAAGTAGAAAATGTTCAAAGGGAGAGGCAACAGGGATCACAGCAGGAGTGGGTCAGGAAAGACTGAGGAAGGGTGTAGGTTTGGTGGTTGATACAGCATCACCAATGGAGCTCTAGGAAGCAGAGCAAATTACACTTTGGCAGGAGGAACAGTATGTTTGAAGATTGGTGGCGTCATCAGCAGTAGGTGTTGTCAGTACTGTGAGTTCAGTGACACTGGAGCATAGAGCATGTAGCAGTGGCTCTGGGAAAATGGGAATATGAGGCCTAGATAATGAAAATCCTGAGCCCTGTCTCTCAGAGAGTAATAACAGCTCCATGATCTGTAGCCCTGGTCAAAGACAGTATGAAGCCAAACAGTAGACTTGTCATACCTTCCTTGTTTTGTGTCCTGTGCTCAGATGTTCACAGTATCTAGAGGGCTCTAATTTTATAAAGGGCCATTTTGTTAGTGATATTTCCGTGTTATGATGGCATAATTCTAGAGACTCAAATTGTGAGGAGGTCATGAATATGTAGAGAGCGAAGGAGAGTTTTGAGAATGGGTTTATGAGAGGGAATAAAGAAAAACATAGGGGGAGACATTTCTGCCATACCACTGCATCCCCAGTGTTAGCGAAGCATGCCGGCTGTGTGTCACTTGTTCAGTAATGGTGGTTGACTATATAATGTGTGAGATAGCTATTTTATTATAGCGTAATATTTAAAAATAATTTTCGTGGTTTCTTGGCACCACTGGGCTGTCCACTTCACATGAGGCAAAGGTTGAAATTATGATAATTGGCCAGACAGTTAAACATCTTCCAGTGGGGAGCAAAATCTTGAGTAAAATTTATTTGTACTGCTTCAGTGTAAGCTATAGAAGAAAGAATTTTTTTAATACTTCAGGGAATACATAAAAACATCGATGAAAGCATTTTTTTTTTAGCTGAGTTTAAGAATTATGATGTAATAAACAGATGGGACTTATTTTTAAGAAATTTTCTGTATGTTTGGAAACCAATAAAGATCATTTTGATATAAAAAAATTCAATCACAGATGTAAAAAACAAACTTGGGGGAAGTGGGGGGTAGATTGGGATTGATATATACACACTACTATGTATAAAATAAATAAGGGCCTACTGTATAGCACAGGGAACTCTACTCAATACTCTGTAATGACCTATATGGGAAAAGAATCTAAAAAAGAGTGGACGTATGTATATGTACAACTGATTCACTTTGCTGTACAGCAGAAACTAACACAACAGTGTAAGTCAACTATACTCCAATAAAAATTTTTAAAAAATTAACTGTAAGAGACAGAGAGAGAGTGTGTGTTGGGAGTTGGATATACATAAGTGATAAAATTAGAAATCCCTTATTTATTTCCCTTTTTTTAGGTGCTGGTGAATCTGGGAAAAGTACAATTGTGAAGCAAATGAAGTAAGTAGATTTAAAACATTAAATTTTTTTATGTTTAAGTGTACTGTTCCATCAAAGGAAGTAAGTGTTACCTTTTCTCTTTTTGTCTTGTTAGAATTATCCACGAAGCTGGTTATTCAGAAGAGGAATGTAAACAGTACAAAGCAGTGGTCTACAGTAACACCATCCAGTCAATTATCGCTATCATTAGGGCCATGGGGAGGTTGAAGATAGACTTCGGTGACTCGGCCCGGGCTGTAAGTTACTAAAGTCCTTGGAGCAGACCTGATGAGTAAAAAAACAACTTGCGTGATTAACACCATATTGTATAACATAGATTTATCAGCTGTCTCAGGACCAGAAGGATGGTAGTGAGTGAAGTAGGTCAGAAGCTTTAGAAGTGAGTGAACTAAGAATACACAGGTTTGCATAATCTTCCCTTTAGAGCTAGAATACTTTCCTTATCCATAAGATGATTGGGACCACTCAATATCCATTGCAGTGTTTTCTATATAACATGGCATATTGGGCACCTCTGTATCTCCATAGCAGTTTTTAGTAGTTACTACTGAGTTTAGTATACTGCCTACACTGGCATTCTTCAGAATTTGTTTTTATGATTTGGAGTGCTGAAATGATCTCATTATTTGCGTTCATGCGCAGACTAAAAAGCAGTCTAGTCTCAGATAACGAAAACAGTATACAAGTTTGCTAATCTTTGGAATCAGAAAATACTGGCTATTAGAAAACATCTTTCAGAATTTCACAGCTAGGACCTTAGGAGACAAGCTAGTTTCACCTCTTTATTTTATCAGTAAAGAAACTGGAACCCAGGACATTACATGAAGGAAAGATTGCCACACGGTGGTAACCAGTGCAGTGTGCCTGTGCTTCCTTGTTTGGCCCAATGTGTAACTTATTTTCAGTTTGATTGGAAGTAGCCCCAGCCAGTCCATAGGGTATTTTCTTTTTCTCCTTTTCCCCCAGTCCCAGTTTGCTTGCTTAATCTGTTTATTTCAAGTTTTATTATTATTTTATTATGGCTTCTTCACTGATTCTTTTTTTAATAACTGATGTAAAACTTGACCTTCCCAGAAACCTTTAACTGAATCTCTAGATTAATTTTTAATATTTTTTACAAAGTAGATTTATTATTACTGCTACTACTGTTACCCCTTTTTATAGTTCCCTTTTATTTTTATGTGTTCAGTATGTGTGTGCTATCTCCCTGATAATACTGTGAAGATTTTTTGCATAGAGACCGTAACTTGTTGTCCTCTTAATCGCTGCTAGGTTTTTATTTTTACATAGAGGCTCAATTTGTGCTTAACAGGAAAAAAAATGAATGAAAGCAACATTAGAGAACATACATTGGAGAAATCTGTAAAGCAAATCTGGTTTTTTTTAAAAAGTTAATCTAATATTTCTTTATAAGTTGCTAGGCCGTATTAATTTACTAAGCTTTTCCTTTTAAACAAAGATTAAAAAGCTTAGTGTGATGAATTAAAATTTTCAAATAGATTTCAAGATCTTTTTTTTTTTTTTGCGATACGCGGGCCTCTCACTGTTGTGGCCTCTCCCGTTGCAGAGCACAGGCTCCGGACGCGCAGGCTCAGCGGCCATGGCTCACGGGCCCAGCCGCTCTGCGGCATGTGGGATCTTCCCAGACCCGGGCACGAACCCATGTCCCCTGCATCGGCAGAAGGACTCTGAACCACTGCGCCACCAGGGAAGCCCCAACATCATTTTTGATACTAATTCATAGCATTCTTCTAAATTATCTGAAATAAGATTTGATCCTATCCAGACAATTTTTGCCTTGTCAATACTATGCATTCAGGCAGTAACTTATTCATTTATCTGTTATTCATTCAGCAAATTTTTTTTGACCTCTTAGTCTTACACAAAAGAGAGCTACCCTATGATAAAGAATTGAATAAATTGTACTCTGATTCCAATTCATGTGTACAGTATTCTGTGTTCAGATCTTACATGTGATTATTAGAGAGGTTTGTGTAGCCTCCATTGTATGAGGTAATGATGGGTTGATGCAAGCTGCTTTTTATGAGGTCTTTTTATTTTCATTTTTTTCTCTCAAGGAATATTGTCATTTTCTGTCCTTTTTGGGGCAGATTTGGGCTGTTTCAGGACTGACTGGAAATAACTGCTCTCTCACCACAAGCTTTATTTTAAAACTGGTTTTCTGATGCTTTGGAATCTACACGGGGGCCTGAGCTGGTCATTTTTGTTTCACTGGTTCTAGTTTCACCCACTCTTTTTAGGCTCTCTCTAGCTGTCCCCGGGTCCCTTGTTTTCTTCCTACCTTCCGACTGTTACTTGTTACCTTTAGCCATTGTTAACTCTTTCACATAAACATCTTCAGTCTCTCTCATTTGTTCTGATTGGTCTACTCTGTGTCTTTGTTGCCTTGCCTCTATGCAAATCTTGTTTTTCTGTTTATTTTTTAATAAATTTATTTATTTATTTATTTATTGGTGGCTGTGTTGGGTCTTTGTTGCTGCTTGCGGGCTTTCTCTAGTTGCGGCAAGTGGGGGCTACTCTGTTGTGGTGAGCAGGCTTCTCATTTTGGTGGCTTCTCTTGTGGAGCATGGGCTCTAGGTGTGCAGGCTTCAGTAGTTGTGGTGCATGGGCTCAGTAGTTGTGGCGCGCGAGCTCTAGAGCACAGCAGGCTCAGTAGTTGTGGCGCACGGGCTTAGTTGCTCCTCGGCATGTGGGATCTTCCCAGACCAGGGATTGAACCTGTGTCCTCTGCATCGGCAGGCGGGTTCTTAACCACTGTGCCACCAGGGAAGTCTGCAAATTTTAAAATACTATGAGGCTATTGAAATTGTGCTAAGGAATACAAAGATGAATTAAACATGGCTTAGACAGGAGGAGGGGACTTGGTATTGTCTTAAGAGTTTTCTAGACAAAAACAAGGAAAAAGCATTCTAGAAAGAAGAAACAGTACAGAGAAAGGCTGAATATATTTCTTTTTCTACAGTATCAATTCCTGGAAGTATTAGCCTTTTAAGTTGAAGGATAATCAGATATTTAAGTTTGATAGGTACCATAGTTTTTTCTGTTTTCAGAAAAAACACGAAGTGAATAATCTTTTCTAGCAACCGTGCATCAGTGTCAACTTTCCCAGAGTGTCATTAACTTAGATGCATTAACATTTTAATTTTTAAATATCTTAGTGAAAAAATATCTTTCTTTTTTAGTTTTTATTTTCCTGATTTGTAGTGAGGTTGAGAATCTTGTCTTTTTGTATCTCTTCTGTGGACTCCTCTTAGTATTCTTTACTCAGTTCTGCTAAATTCCTTGTGCTTTTCACACTGAATCTCTTTGAATATTAGGGATATTACTTCTTTATGTTTTACAGATGTTTTTATTCAGCATATTTCTTTTACTTTTTTGAAACAGTATTTTTCTTGTTACAGAACTTTTAATTTTCTTCAGTCAGTTGTGACTTCTGTGTTTTGTGCCTTGTCAGACATTCTTCAGCTTACATTTATTTTTTTAAAATTATCTTCCTTTTTCTAGGTGGAATCTAAGTATATTTTATAATCTGATCATCTCTTGCCTACAACCATGTATTAAATACTCCATTCCTGAGTGACTTGAAAATGCTACCCTTAGCATTAAATTGAGTGTTTTTCTGAACTCCATTTTTTTTAATTGATATATTCTTTTCTTCCCTAGCTCAGTCACTTATTTTCATAATAAGATGGAAATAATAATAACATCCACCTTACAGCGTTCTGAGAAATAATGACAAGCCTTTACTACATGCCATGGTCATAATCGATGCTCAGTAAATGTTTGTTATTGCTGTTGTTATTTATAATGATTATACTACTATTATTATTTTTGTCAGAGTCACATTATTTTAGTTTCTCTTGCTTCATAGGATATTGGTATCTGGTAGGGTAAGTGCACCCATCCCATTGTTCTTTTCTAACCGAAATATAAAGGCTATAATGTATTTCTCTTCCAGATAAACTTGGGAATCAACTTAATTCCTCACATCCCTTTTGAAACAAACAAAAAAAGCCTTCAGTATCTTGATTGGAATTACATTTTAGTATGTAGGTTAACTGGGTGAGAATTGACTAAAAGATGTAAAATTTTAAGAGACAGTGACAATTTGCTGTGGTTTGCTTCATATTTGGCAGGTACCAGATATGCAAAACACATTACACATTAGTTATTTAAAATGAGAGGAAACAAAACTGTTTTCAAGGCTGGCATAGAGCAATCAAAATTTGTGCCTAATATCCTTTCAAAACTCTTATAATGCGTGTAGTCAATCTGTGGATGACAGTTTATTGATAAATTAGATTATTTTGTTTTTAATAATGTACAGTTAGGGAAGTGTTGAACAGGGGCCTGTCAACATGTCACTGCATCACTTAGAGTTGTGCTGCTCAGAGTGTGGTCCATGGACAGTGCCTACACGCAGGCATGTGCACAGGTGAGTACAGAAGTAAAGGAAGCGATTAGACCAACTTTTACAGCAATTGACAGAGTAATTTATATGTTAACTCTGATAGTTTACAAAAATGTATTTATGTTTTACGTCATTTAAATGTTATTTTTCCAATAGTATTAGTTTTGAAAGATTGGAAACAAAAGAAAATGAAACAAATAAAACACAAGACTGATCTTTCATCCCAGAAAGCTTGAGAAGCACTTCCTTGGAATAATAAGCTGGGCTGTAAGGAACAGAAAACCTTGCCTTGAATTGACTTAAGCTCCCTTTCACCCCCAAACCTCAGCGTGCTCCAGAATAATGGCCACTTTTCTCTTCCTCTAATTTTAAAATTAATTTCATTATTTAGTTAGATTATGTCTCTGCCAGATTTGCCAGATTGCTTTTGAGAAAGGCTGTGTCAATTTACTTTCCTAGCAGCAGTGCCTTTTCTTAGCACTCTGGGTAGCCAACATTTGGAGTCTGACATGTTTAAAATATTGGCTAATTTATTAGTAAGTCTTAATTTAACTTGCATTTTCAATTTTTTAATATAACTATGCAGTTTTCCATTTCTTTACTGACTGTTTTTATTTCTCTATGTTAGTGGCTTATTTTATCCTTTATTCATCTACGGATTGGAGTCTTGGTGTTTTATGTATTTGCTTGTTTGTATGTACTTGTATATTAACCCTTTGTCCACTAATGCAAATGTTCTCTCACATTTGGCTTATTACCTTTAATCTTAGGTTGTCATTTAAAAAATTTTCCCCTATTATTTCTTCCATTGTGTTATTTAAATTTAGAAAATCTTCTCTCAACCAAAGATTTACTGAATATTTGTGCTATTTTAAAAGTTTTTTAGGGAGTGAATTTCAACATCGTTTCTATGTTAGTTTTTTAATCCCTCTGAAACTCTGTTGTATGCATGGAATAAGGATCTGCATTATTTTTTTCCTCTTCATATGGCTATCTAATTATTCACAAGTGTTTTTTTAATAATTGTATTCTTTCCTACTGATTTATCTTGCCACTTTTGTCATGTAAGTTCACATTGGGGATTTTCTCCCCCTGTTGATCTGCATTAATACTAGATGGTCTACATATTGTAGACTTTTAATATCTGATCATTTCAGTCCTCTGTCCCCAGTATTCTTTTTCAAAATGTTTCTAGTTATTTCTACTTATCATTTTTCCAGATGAATGTTTGAATTATTTATAGTAGTAGTCTGGTTTATCGTTGAGAACTAAGATGAAGAAGTTATAATATTATGTTGTTTTTGATTCTGAGAAATACTGATTTATATATGTGACAAAGTGATACTAACCTTCATTTGAAATGTATTATATGCCTCCAGCACAGTATTTTTCTACTTTGCTCAGTTCATGTATTATTTATTACATGTTTGTCTATCTTTTCACAATAGGTTCTATTGTGCATACAAAGAACAGTTTCATGTTTCTTTTATTAGTTTGAAAATTAAAGCTATGCAGTTATAAGATTCATAAATATATACATAAAGGTTATATTTGTATAACATACTTATTATAATTTCTCTTCTTGACATAATGAAGCTCATGCTCACTGCAATTTAGTCAAAAATTTTGCTGTCTGCAATTTAGTTAAAATTAATTTCGATGATTTTACTTTTTTCCCCCACCCCTTCCCCCTTAAGCAGTGTTACGGGGGGAAAAAAGAAAACTTCCTCTTTCCTTGCCTCAGTCATTTTTACTTTGGTTACAGTTGTGTTTTTAGAGGAAAAAAGTGTTACATTTGTTTATTTCTTAAAACAATTCTTTAACATCTGGGATTAGCACCAGCCGCCATGGAGAGGTGACTTCACTAAAGTTCTCAAGATTTCCTTACCAGTACACTAACTTTGGTGAAAGCAGTATAACTGGCTTACATTTATAGGAGTGATTGTATGCTCTAGAAATGTGGTAGATTAAATATGTCAGTAATTCTCATTGTATATGGTGTTCAGTATTGTTGCCTAATGTTATTAATGAAATAATTATCCTAAACCATTGAAACAAAGGATTTCTATACCTGTATCAATCATGACATCAATACATTATCCCTGTGGTCAAAAATCCAGAGGTGCACTATTTTTTTTTGACATTCCTTTATCATATTACTTAGCCTCTGTTGTAGAAGGGCTTTCTGATGTTTTCTGTTGAAACACTCATCTAGCCTTTGCTTAACAATTTCAGTCTCTCACTCTCCCTCCTTTTTGTGTGTTTTTGGATAGCTTTGGTTGTGAATAAGTGTTCTTATTGAATTGAAATCTGATATCTTTTGCCCTCAGAATTCTTTTGCTGCTCTGGGCCTAAGCACAAAGTCAGTTCTTTCTTACCTTTGATGATTCCTGATATATCAGAAGAAAGCCATCATGGTCCCTCAAAGTCCTCTCTTCCCCATAATTCTCACAAAATAGGTGACGTCTTCAAATAAAATGTGTTGTCACTAACAGGTGCTCCCTGATCATCACTGTGTGAGAAGAGGCTATTATGTGTCTCTTGACAGGATAGCATTTCGTATCTCCTTTCTGAGTTCCCCAAACGTGCAGTTATATGAACTAGAATTTGCATTCTTTAAACCATCTTATTTTCATTTAGTTTTTAGTCATTTGAAAACATACTAACTCAGCTACATCCGAGGATTTTTTTTCCTTGCTACTTGCAAATAATTGCCTGGCAAATGAATTTCTTTTTAACACTACAAAAAGAATTCCTGTAAACTGCTTTACTTACCTATAGCCCTTTAGTAATCCCTACCCTTTTTCAACACTATGTCATACTGTTTTAGTACACTCAAGTTTGTCTTTCTTTCTTAAATGTTCTTAAGTAACATTTTAAATGAATCTTGAAAACACTTCAGTCCATGACAAGATAGGATTATTGTCATCATTCTGCAGTTGTCAAATTTATCTTGTCTTAGGCAGTGGCTGCTTAGTAATTGTTGACTAATATGTGGGATTGGGTGACTAATTACCTGTGGAACTTTAAATTGCACAATCTCTCTATGTCTCAGGTTCTTTTTAAACAGAACAAAAAATTAGGTAGAATAATTTCTAAAGGACCTTCCTGCTTAAATTTATTACTTAAAGCTCATCTGCAGACATCTGAATGTCCTGCTAATGACATGGAGATGAGTATTCCAGTTCATTTTTTAAGGAAAAGAGACTTCTTTACATTTTGTGAAGAGGAGACATTTTTGAATGCCGCAGTTTATAAATAGAGCTTCCACAGTTTCCCAGGTCTTTTCTTCAGGCTTCTTTCCTGGAAAGTTGGAAGAGAACGTGATCTTATGACCCACACCAGAGGGCATTAGTATTTTCTGTCAACAAATTTTATGGAAATTGAATAAATATATCATAATGAAAGCTCATTTTAAAGCTCACTTAAGTGAAAAGCACTTTTCTAAAATGGTTGGAGAAAAGTATGTTTGATGTCACTTAAAAATAAAAATAACCAAATTTAGAAATTTCTCATATAAGTCATTATTTGGAAAATTGAATAACTGTTTACTGGAGTTAGGTAAATGGTGCTAAAAACGACTTGAAATTGTGTTTTGTTGGGGTTTATTAAGGACATGGTACAAGTGTTACTTGCTTGCATGCATTTCTCTTGTGATTTACTAAAAAGGGAAACATATGCTTGAATAATAACGTTCCCATGCTGAGTGACTTAATTATTTCTCACGATGGGTTCCATCTGAAAAGAAAATGTTTCACAAACTGGCAGTAGAATGAATTTATATTGTCAGCTAGTACCCTCCGCTAGCCTGTGTCACCAAATGCTTCCCTTCTGTATGCCTTATAATGTGTGCCATCACTTTATAAAGAGCTACTATACCACATTGGAAAAAATGCCCCTAGAGAAAAATTATGGACTGTCTATCCAGTTAACATAAAGCTGCATATCTCAGGCCAGAAAGAATCTTTGCGAAGATGGTAACTTCACATATCCCTTATTTTTGTATTAACTGTGTTATTACCTGAAGACTAGAGTTGTGTTATAGAGCACTGTAGCTACTACCTATATGTGGCTACTGAGTATTTGAAATGTGTCGAATTGAGATGCATTGTCTGTATAAAAGAAACACCACATTTCAAAGACTAAATATCTATAATAATATGAAAAGCTCAATAAGTTTATATCGATTACATGTTGAAATGATTTTTTTTTTTTTTTTTTTTTTTTTTTTCCCCTTGCGTTATGCGGGCCTCTCACTGTTGTGGCCTCTCCCATTTGCGGAGCACAGGCTCCGGACGCGTAGGCTCAGTGGCCATGGCTCACGGGCCCAGCCGCTCCACGGCATGTGGGATCTTCCCGAAACGGGGCACGAACCCGCGTCTCCTGCATCGGCAGGCGGACTCTCAAGCACTGCGCCACCAGGGAAGCCCCTGAAATGATATTTTATATACAGATTAAATAAAATATATTGTTACAGTTAATTTTACTTTTTTTTTTTTTTTTTACACTTTTTAAAATGTGCTATTAGAAAATTTAGAATTGCATCAGTGGCTCATATCTCTTTTGGACAACACTGACCTAGTGGGCTTGATTAACTATGGATCAGAATAACTGTAAATATTGTAGCCTCAAAACTTAAGCAAAATTTAATTAAATTTATGTGTAGTATTCCTTCATTTAAAAACTTTGCATGCTCTCTTCTATATGTGTCATGAGTATTTCTACTCCAAAGCTGTGTTTGTTTCCTTGCCTGGATCAGCAGACAGCTATCCCCATCTCCTGGCCCATTGATTTTAAGGTATACATACTTTAAGGTCTTCTGAAAAATCTCACACCATTCTGTGGAACTATTCTTGCTTTATCCCACTTGATTTCTCCCTTCTCTGAACTTATTTTGCATCTGTGAAGTATATCACAAAGCTAACATTTAATTAGATGCTAAAAATAACCTCTAATGGTGTTAATGTGTTTTTTAGATTAGAAACATTTTGGTAAGGGAGAGGCAAAGCATACATTCTTCTGTTTTCTCAGAAGGGTACAACAGACTGTCAGTGGGTAGTTGGTTAATATATTCTCTCATGAGCTGCAAGTGTCGTCATTCTTTCAGCTCCTTAGTGCCTTGATAGCTGTTACTAATATCACAAAACATGGACTCATGATTTAAGATTATGCTTTTTTGATTAAGCCAATTTTTTAAGTGGTGCTTTTAGAGAAATCCAAGTTATGACACCAATAAAAGGCATAAAGGAAATTCACTATTGCACTTTTTGTAATCTGGAATATACTTTATCTGTAGTGTCTGCCTTTTTACTTTTTAAATAAAAATGGACTTTGAATGTTCAGGATGATGCCCGCCAACTCTTTGTGCTTGCTGGAGCTGCTGAGGAAGGTTTTATGACTGCAGAACTTGCTGGAGTTATAAAGAGATTGTGGAAAGACAGTGGTGTACAAGCCTGCTTCAACAGGTCCCGAGAGTACCAGCTTAATGATTCTGCAGCATAGTAAGTAATCATAACTTCAGAACTACACTATCATGAATAATTACTTGCAGGTGAGGTATACCTCCAGGTCACTTTTAATGCAGAGTTGGCTGACACATTCTTAGACAACTCAGGATATTTAGGATGACAGTATTTCAAAACTTCTGTTTTTTGTGTGTGTGTTTGTAGGTAGCAAGGCTCCTATTTCCCTTCTGTTCAAAAGTTGTCTCAAGGGACTCATGTAACTAATTGAAACATGCAGAATGGAACTGTTTCCAGTATATTTCCAAGAAAGTAATTGGAACTTGCCAAAATTCACTCTGAATTTGGGTGTATCTCTAGTTTATCTGTGGCTAGCCAAAGGGGAGGGTAACTGATTTGTGTGCTTTTTGTTTACTAAGTGCCTGAGAAGTTACTTGTCCATTGACAGACACAGTACTCAGTGACACAGAGTACTCAGTGTTAGGTAAATGATTTAGTTGAAAGTTGTCAACTGTATGTGCCCTGTTGCATTGGACATTGTTTACAGATATCTAAGTCTAGTTTTTTAGAAGAAAAATCTGCTCTGATTTTCCAGGTGGTGGCCCCAGAAAAGTCTATAAAGGAAGTTTTGATAAAACCTATTCAGGGAGCTTTCTGTTTGATGATCTGCATAGAATTAAAAAAAAAAAAAAAAAATCAAGGATTTGTTTCCGTTACTTGGTACACATACTCAGAAATGTCAAAGATGATATGACTAGAAACATGTACCTTGCACTCATTTTACTTTCCAGAATTACTCAGTTTTCTTGACAGAGCTATTGGCTCTTGGGAACACAAATGAGGATTAAATAGAAGATGACAGGTATTAGAAGGTCCAGGTAAATACACCTACTTTGCCACAGTGGAAAACCAACGGGAATGGCTCCTGAGGACCTTATTATCATGTCCTGTATTGCACATCAGAGTACTCAGTGTTAGGTAAATGATTTAGTGTGAATGAATAAGTAATACAAATTACTGTGTAACCCATCACAGTTTTTATAATGCTATATTTCTCAATATGTATTTTTAGTGTTTTACAAGTGTATAAACATATAAATTATTACATACATAGTTTATATATGTATATGTAACATCTTCTTATTGCTGTGTAGCCCATCTCTCCAACTGGTGTCCTCACTTCTACAAGGAAATACTCTTCAACTCAGTGTGTAGGCCTTTGACTCCCTGTTAGGTATTCATGATGTGATGTATTTTTTTCCATACTACTCACAGATTTACATTTATTTTGAGGTGATTTGACTTATATTGAGACTGTTTGATTCTTTTTTATCTCTGCCACTGCACTGTAAATTCAGTAAGGTCTGTTTCTTCCCAGTGTTATATCTCCATTGCCTGATACATGGTCATCATGCAATATGCCCTTAAATTAGTAAACCAAACTTTACAGAAGCTAGAAGAGAAAATTAGAAAAAAAATTCTTAGGGCAAGGACACAGCTCTTAGTGCACCATACTTGCTTTGGCACCACCAGAACCTGCAGAAAGATCTAAGTGGAAGTCACTCACGGTGAGGAGGTTTCTCTGAGCTGAGCCCAACAAGGGGAACTATTTGAATAATTAAGGGGTGCTTCTTAGGGACTGTAGATTGAAGTTCCTTTCCCCCTATCTCTCTGGACCCCCCTCAGTATATTTACCAAGACCCTTTGTCCTGTGCACAGTGCTTGGCCACGCTCTGAAAGAAACGTGTCACTTTGGCTCCCCGTTATTTCATTACTAGTCGTTCTAATCTTAAGATGACAATAATGGAGCCATTTTTCAAGAATGAAGGAAATCATAAAAAAAATTTTTCCCCGTGGTAGTTACAAGCTATCTTGATTTCTGAATTCTTGACCGGAGATAGGGGATGCTGCTAAGCTGCCTATTAAGACCATCTAACCACCAGTTTACATTTTAAATTTGTGATCTTTTAAAAACAATTGGAGCTTTTCACGATGCCTGTTTTTCTTTTTTGTCTTGTTGAAATATAAATGTGCATTATTTTTAGAGGCTAATAGAACTATAGCAGTTTTAAGCAAAGAAATGTATATAGGAGTAATCAGAGTAAATTTTAAATAAGAATAGCTCACTACTTCAAAGGGACAATTAGTAAAATCTAGCCATGGCCTGTTTGTTTGTTTTTTAAGTCAGGTTTTGTTACAATAAGGTGAATGTTATATATATGGAACTAAAAACACAGATGAAGTACTAGGGGATTATCACCAATGCAGTAATACATTGATTATTTTAAATTCAGTAAATATAATACAGATAACTCAAGCTATCATCTCCATGTATTCTGGTATCAGCATCACATACATAAACTTAACTGTCTAAAACATTTTGATTACTAATTCACAGGATAGCTTTCCAACCCCATCTCCAGAAATACAATATTTATTGAGCTCCTTTTGTTTGTAAGACCCCATTCTAAATGGCTAAGGAACAGTTTCAGAGGATAACATCAATTAAAGTTGCAAAAGTTGGTGCCTCTCTATAATAAACCTAGAGTATCGTCTAAATTATCTTGGATTCTTCCACTCTAGTATTAGAAAATACTTCAGTGATGCTCCCCACATTCAACTGACCTTAGGATTAATTCCATGCGTAGCGTACTAGTGGACTTACTTTCTGAGATATAAGACGTGACTGTTCCTACCTCCATACTGTTTTACTGCTTTTCCTGATGTGAATGACATTCCCTTTTATTCGTTGCACCTGTCAGATTTCTATTTATGCCCTTCACTATCCATGAAGCCCTCTTGAACCACTGAGGTTCACCTTAATCTCTCCATACCTGGACTGTAACATTATTGATTCTACTACATAAGTGGACACAAAATGAAAGAATTGCATGGTATGACAGCACTATATTTTTATAGCACAACATATTTTGCATCATTGGCAGAAAGTGTTGAATGAGTGACTGAAATCAATGAGAAGTAAAATATGAATATTGATTCATAGAGGCAGTAAAATGTAGAGTATAGGAGCATGTGTCATGTTTTCCTGTATGTTACTTAAGGTTGGTTGAAAAGGAACAATATTGAATTCAACCTTTGGCCAGAGGTTTCCTCACTACTTAGGAAGGCTTTCTAATTTCTCAACAAACGAATAATGTCTGGAACATAAACACAGTGCTACATCAAAGAAGTGTAATAAAGAGTTTTAAGGGACAAATTCATGGTGTGCCGTGAGTTTGGATGTTTATAAAGTTATTACTTTGTTTTCTTTTCCAACAAGGAGAATTACTGAAATATTTAAGGAACTTTGTGACTGGAGAAGTATAAAAATTTTCATTTCTGTGAGAGTTGTGTAAGATATAGACTTAAAATTACATCATTCCACAGAAATATAAAAACTTCAGTAATCTGGAGTATTGCATGCATCAGAAGGTTTTACTCTTTGGTTTAGATGATCTTTATTGACAGTGTTAACTATTAGCATATTGTTGTTTATTTTTTCAGCTATTTGAATGACTTGGACAGAATTGCACAACCAAATTATATCCCAACTCAACAAGATGTTCTCAGAACCCGAGTGAAAACTACAGGAATTGTTGAAACCCATTTTACTTTCAAAGATCTTCATTTTAAGTGAGTATCTTCAAAACATTATGATTTATGAATTTAGATACAGAACACATTGTTTAAGGAAAAAAAGGTATACTAATAAATGTTTTAAAATGTTTAGAGTTTGAAATTACAAAAAATGTTTCACACCTGATTGGACAAAAGAATTTGGGGCTGAAAGAGGTCAAGAAACATTCAGGAGGAATATTTATATTTTTATTTAAGAAAAAATAGCCATGCAAATTCCTTTTGCCTGTATTTTTCACAGTGACTTAAATAAAAATAGTTTTGGGCTTTTATTTTTAAAAGAAAGTACTGCTCTAATATTTTATATTTTGGGAAAGTGTTGCCATCCAGTTTTAGGTTTTACTGATAGAATATATGCTTATTTATGGGCATATTTTTAAAAGTTACCTTTTTAAAAATTTTCACGAAGATTTTTATTTATGCAAACTCATGTTTGTACTATTTCACAATGAAAAATGTTTTTAATTTACAGTGTACTATAACTTAACTGAAGTCTGAACAGAGAAGCACTAAGTGGTAGCCTTCAGAATGAAAGGGAATCTGGAGTTCATTTTGTCTAGTCCGCTCATTGTGTAATGAACTGGGCTCAGGGAAGTTCATTTAAGCATTGCATTCAGATTTACAGAACTATGTTTTTCTTTTTCCAATAAGTAACAGTTTTCAAAGTATGAGAGAAACTGCTGAATTTTGCTTCAGTTAACTCCAGTGCTCTGAAACAGTATGATAGTAAAGCAGAATTTCTGAAACCGTCTTAAAGAAAGGCTCCTAGTGAAAGATTAAAAAAAAATATTTATCAGCTCACCTCGTAAAGAAGCTCAATATTACTAGTTTGGGGAGCACAGCTAAATATATGCAACTATATCTTTGATTCTCTCCATAAATATTTTAAATATAATACATTTGTTACTATCATTTATCACTACATTATCCCACATTCAGTGATTAATGTAATTAAGTTTTCCAGAAAACTAAAATTTAATTTCAGTTTTCCCTGGCAGCTTCCTTCCAAAAGCACAAACATTGCCCTGCTTTCTTAAACAGAGATATAGATCATAATTAGTTAATCTGACCATGTAACTTTTGGTACTGTAACATGGTACTGTTTTGCATTTGCTTTTTTTTTTTTTTTTTTTTTTTTTTTTTTTTTTTTGCTGTCAGTGGGCTTTTTTTTTTCCTTTCCCTGCTGGTAAGATCTCTTATTGAAATGTTATAGTTTGCTTACTATTTGGAGAATATTAAATAACCAGACTGAGGAATATTAAAATAGTATTATTTTAAATAATCTGATTTGTCTTATTTGATAACTGTTGCCAGATGTGTTTAAAAATTATAAAGTGATTTTAATTATAAGGAAATTCACTATTAGATTGGGTCTTTTTTTAATCCTGTACAACTTAAATTCTGATTTTTTTGGTTTCTATTTACCTTGCTTTAAGACCATATTCTATAACAAATTTAAATTGTTACGTTCAGATGATAACTTTATTCTAACCATGAAGTTTCAGGAGAAAATGCATGGGGTTAGGGTTAGCAAGTAAGGATTCTGGACATAGGCCCCTGGTTAGGTAAGGGTAAACTTGTTTAAGATTCTTAACAGACTGTTCCAATCTTGCTCATTGTTAGAGGTTTATACATAAAATGGTTACTGTCTATAAAAGGAAACATAGAGGTGTGAGCTCTGTAAATGATGGGAAACGGCAAAGGTAAATGTCACATCAGTTATTTGGTGCTTTGGGCCATCTAACTGTGCAAAATTCAGTTTCGTTCTTCGGTAGATGCGCCCTAAACATTTGCTTCCAGACCATACACTTCACTTCCAGCCTAGGTTTCTCAAAGTTGCCATTTCAACATCAGGAGTTGTCTGTCATCATGATCCTTCCAGGAAGTCCACTTACCTTGCTCTATTTAGTCTCCTTGGGCGAGGTAAAATTTCACAGGATGTTTTTAGTTACTGTTTTCACTTGCTGACTTACAGATAAACATAGATTTGTCAGTAACTTCAAATAAACTTTGTCTTATTTTGGTTTTGAATTCTGTTAAATTACTATCATTGCTAACATATGGTTCCAACTTTGCTTTTTATATATTAAGTGAGCCTCAGAAGAATGAGGGCAAAAATATACTTAGAATAATTCTACTGGAAACTCAAGTGTGCTTATCATTTTGTGTGTTTTGTGGTATAAATTCATTGTCTGATTTTTAACTGCTGATATAAAATTTCAGTTTCACTTTTTTGTGGTATGGGAATTAACAAATTCAAAATGAGGCAATAAGGCATTATAACTTAACAATATATATTATCACCTCTGTGACTAGGCATTTATGGAAAGTGTCTATGAGGATTATTTTGCTTTAAAGAATTAACAGTTTTATCTTGTTATATTTTTGCTGAATATAGAATTAAAGCATCCCTTCTATTAGAAAATCATCATAACATGTTTCTATTCCTTTTCTTTAGTAATGTAATGTGCAGTTGGTTTTGGGGTGGAATGTCATTTATGGGCTTGGTATTTATATATGGTCAACTAGCATTGTCTCAGTCTTGGTCACAGTGGAATTAGATGACAGTCTGACGGTAAGACAGCATAGCTCAGGATAGCCAATATATGCCCTTCCATCTTCACTCCCTCCCCTTGCTCCCTCTAAAAAGAGAAACCTAAGAAAACTCAATTTCACTCCCTACTTGATACTAGTCAAAAGTTTCATCTTTTCATATGAAGGAGAACATACTATAATCTTGCTTTGTTTTGGGTTAAAGAAATAGAAGTTCAGAATTTGAAGATAATTCTCCTGTATTTGTAAAATAATGAAAATGCTCTGTGCACATTCTGATCCTTTGTCATATTAGTTCTTAGTCATTTTTGCTCCTTGACTTATGAATTAGGCCAGTGATTCTCAAAGTGTGGTCCCCAGATCAGCACCATCAACTTACCCACCTGGTGATTGTAATGCACATTAAAGTTTGAGAAGCAGTGGCTTAGATTAAATGTTCTTTATGACCAGTATATGAATGACCCTCATTCATTTCTAAATTAAATAAATTGAAGATTTCTTCTGTATTCATATTACTTGATTATCAAGTTAAAGCGCTTTTATATTTAACATTCCCACAGCATAACTGGAAGGCCTAGATCTTCAACATGGTAAAACTAACCTATTATTGATCCATTAGAGTTTATTTTTGTGTATGGTGTTAGACAATGTTGTAATTTCATTCTTTTACATGTAGCTGTCCAGTTTTCCCAGCCTCACTTATTGAAGAGATTGTCTTTTCTCCATTATATATTCTTACCTCCCTTGTCATAGATTAATTGACCACAGGTGCGTGGGTTTGTCTCTGGGCTTTCTATCCTAGTCCATTGATCTATAGTTCTGTTTTTGTGCCAGTACCATACTGTTTTGATTACTGTAGCTTTGTAGTATAGTCTGAAGTCAGGGAGTCTGATTCCTCCAGCTCTGTTTTTCTTTCTCAAGATTGCTTTAGCAATTCGGGGTCTTTCACGTTTCCAGATAAATTTTAAAGTTTTTTGGGCTAGTTCTGTGAAAAATGCCATTGGTAAAAAATAGTCTATTATTGCTTGAAAGTGTTTTAAAATATTCTGTAGACACAGTTCATTCTTTCATTCAACAAATGTTTATGAAGTGCGTGTGTTTGTCCAGTGGAGGGGATATAACATGGCCAAAACAAAGTCTTTGCCTTTATGTTGTTCTAGGGATGGGGGAGGAGATTAGATGAAATAACTATTTAGTATTCAGGGGGCGATAATTGCTACAAAGAGAAATAAAGCAAGATGGGAGGGGGTATACTAGTTTCCTAAAGCTGCTGTAACAAATTACCACAAACTAGTGGCATATAACAATGGAAATTTATTCTTTGATAGTTGAAGCTAGAAGTTTAAAATCAGTTTGTCAGCAGGACTGTGCCCCTTCTGAAGGCTCGAAAAAAGAATCTTCCCTTGCCTCTTAGCTTCTGGTGGTTGTCAGCAGTTCTTGGTGTTCCCTGCCTTATGGTCATATCACTCCAGTCCTTGGCCTTCTTCCCTGTGTGGGTCTGGTTCCTCTTTGCTTATTAGTTCACTCCTCAGTTTCTCTCCTTCGTCTTGCATTTTACTTTAGCAGCAAGGAGAACCAAGGTTGTACCTTGCATTCTTTGCTTGAAAATTTTCTCAGCTAAATCTAAATATCCAGGTTCATCTCTTACAAGTCCTGCCTTACACCCAGCACTAGAATAGTTAAGCCAAGTTTTTGCCACTTTAAAACAAGGATTCCCTTTTCTGCAGTGTCCAATAATATACTTCTCATTTCCTTCTGAGACCTCAACAAAAACATCTTTAACATTCATATATCTTTCAACATTGTGTTCATGATGATATATATTCATTCTCTAAGATAGAAGCTTTTCTACCATCCTCTTCACTTCCATCTAAGTCTCATCAAAATCACCTTTAATATCCGTATTTCTAACCAACCATCTTTCAAGGCATTCTGGGCTTTTTCTATCAAGTAACTCAAAATTCTTCCAGCCTTTCCCTATTACCCACTTCCAAAGCCACTTCCACAGTTTTGGGAATTGGTTTTACAGCATTACCCCACTCTGGGTACTAAAATTTGTGTCAGTCAGGGTTCTTGCAAGCAGCAGAACCAGTAGGTTCTGTGTATTTCAAGGAACTGGCTTAACGTGACTGTAGGTGCCAGTGAATTGGAAGTTTGTAGTGCAGGACAGCAGGCTCAGACAGAAACTGATGTTACAGTATTGAGGCAGAATTTTTCTTCTTCTGGGAAACTTCAGTTTTTGCTCTGAATGCCTTTCAACTCATTGCATGAGGTCTGCCCACATTATCAAGGATAATCTCCTTTACTGAAAATCAACTGACTATAGATGTTAACCATAACCAGAAAATATCTTCACAGCAGCACCCAGATTACTGTTTGATTAAATAGCTGCGTATGATAGCCTAGCCAAATTGACACGTAAAACCAACATAGGGATAATATGGGACAGGGTGGGTTTTATTGTTATCTTACATGGAGTGGTCAGGAAATATGTGACATTAGATCAGAGAAGTTAGCTAAAATATATTATCTTTTTGGTAAAGTTGTCTTCAAATTGTGTTCCTTGGCAATTTAACAAATGGGTAATCATTTTAATTTCTTTTGTTCTTGTTTGAGCTTTATTACCAGCTGTCCTTTTTATATCTTACCCATTTTAGTGTGTAGTAGAATCATTTTGTTATATAGCATACTTAAACTTAATGAACAATTTACTAGCTAAACTAATAGAAAGAATGGCACTGAAATGATGATAAAAGTAACAATACTAGTTACTTTTGTAATGAGTACAGATCTTTTGTACTCGGATTTGGTTTATAGGCCAAAACTATTCTACAGGGAAAATTCTTTTTGCCTGAGAATTAAATAGGGACTATTTTAATTAGTGCAGTATCTAGATAAATGGAGCCTTTAAAAATGTACCAGTTTGCATAGTGTTTCCATTATGTAAGTGGTTATTTCTAGGTTGCATAACATAATCTATGTGAATTTCAACTTGTGCTTAACTTAAACTCTTACAGGGAAAGGAGGAAAAGATTATTGTTTTTATACTGTTTGTGTTACTACCCTGTACAGTAACCTACAATGGTCTGCTGTTGTGTATCATGTAAAAATTGAGTTTTTTCAGTCCTAATTTTCAGACTATTCAGTAGGCCATCCATTTATCTCATCTCATTTTTTTTTTTCTATACCATGGTTTTACTTTTTAATTTAGGCAGCTTTTTTGCCCCTGTTTAAATATGACTTGCTTGCTCAGCTTTTCTTACCCGGGATGGTTTTTCCTTTACATCTGCTGTATTGCTTCTGAGAGAAAACATTTTGTACTTGGATGAGGGGACCATGTTCTCTGCCTCTAATGTTCTGTGACTTTAGCAAATTGAATATATTCTATTATCTCTGCATTCTTATAGTGCTGCCCCTTCTTTTGTATTTGTTTTCGTGTTCTGTTCTAAAGTGTTCTCATATGTTAATGAATGTGTTATTTTTTTAGGGTATTTTGGGGTTTTTGTTTTGTTTTACTGTGAGATAAAAACAAAATGGTTTAAAACCAGCAGACTTTTTTTCCTTTGTGAAAATCAATTTGTGACATTATATTCCTCCCATAAAATCCTTTTCTCCTTTATTTCCATCCCACATTCCCTATGCGATTTGGAGCTTTTTTTGTTGATTTTTATAGCACTCCTCAGAGCCTCTGAACATTCAGCGTGATGTCAAACTCATTATTTTTCCTCTTACAGAATGTTTGATGTGGGAGGACAGAGATCTGAGAGGAAGAAATGGATTCATTGCTTTGAAGGAGTGACCGCCATCATCTTCTGTGTGGCACTGAGTGACTATGACCTGGTTCTAGCTGAAGATGAAGAAATGGCAAGTAGAACCACTTTTAAAGATTGAGCATGGCATATGAAGAGCTGGAGATGTTGCCAAGAATTTTTCTGTGAAAAATTCTTGAAGAATTCTTACTAATGCCTAAATTAATTGAAAGTTCAGGCTCTTTTCTCTAACTTTTGTTTAGTATATTTCCCTTTTAGAATACAAAGAACAGATGGATCCTGAAAAAAGGGAAAACACAAAAAGTTAATCTCACCTCAACCCTAGTTGCTTAACTAGGCATTTATGAGATCTGGTATCTACATACTAAATGAAAATAAAGTTAGTTCCATTATAGTCCAAGGCTTATTTTTCTTAACTTATTACTTCTGCCAGCTCAGTAATCCTTGATCTCTGTTATACTTTGCTACTGTCATGTAATTTTCAGATGTGTTTCAGTGTACCATTAATCTGGGGGAAATATTTTTAATTAGAAAAAAGCTATGTGTCAGTTTCTTTTATTAAAGTAAGTTATATACAATTATCATTGCAGTAGGTGTAGTGCACATGTTCCTTTCTGTCATTCTGGCACTATAAAATATATTAGTACCCTGTACCCTTTTTGAAACCACAAAAACTGGAAGGGCAGGAAACAGGAATTGGAAGTTTCCTTCCCTAATATACCATTATATTTAGGGTATTGGGCTAATTGTGTTTCAGCTTTTTCAGTTTAATTTATTAATCTTTAAAAACCTCTACTTATCTTTTAATGGAAACTTCAATTCACTCTGTAATAATGAGGTCTCCTTTGAAACGTTTGCACTTCACATTTCTAGATCGCAGGGTCCTGCAGCACAGTGACCCGCTGCCAGCACTCAGCAAGTACTGGTTGAATGCAAAAAAGTGATGAGTGATGTAGACACTCATCTTGCCTAAATTAAAGTGTGTGCTTGTTCTTAAATGGCAAAAATATGTTTTTGTGGGATGTTACCTATTTTTCAGCTAAGTTCTATTGTATTACCATACTTTTTTTTTTTCACGCTCATTTTTTAAAAGTAATAGTTCTTAAAATCCTTGCCATTATGACAAACTGGCTGTATTCTATTACAGAACCGAATGCATGAAAGCATGAAGTTGTTTGACAGCATATGTAACAACAAATGGTTTACAGATACATCTATTATACTTTTTCTAAACAAGAAGGATCTCTTCGAAGAAAAAATCAAAAAGAGCCCTCTCACTATATGCTATCCAGAATATGCAGGTATTTTACTTTCTGTAGATAACTTGTCAGCTCGTATATTTCTAAGTGAACGTTCCCCTAAGGCAAGATTTCATTTGTTGATTTGAATCTTTTGGCTTAGTAATTCTTAACCTTTAAGAGAAATTATTTGTCAAACTGCATTCAAGCACAAGTAGTTCCTTGAGTTGTGAGTGAGATGATTGAAAATAACATTCATTTTAGGGAAAATCTGTTAGATAATTTTCTATGATGACTCCAAGTCTTCATAAACTTACGGTATTGATTGGTTCATCCAGTTAACAGATCTTATGTCAGGTATTGTGTGATGCACAGTAAATAAAATGTGTCTCTGGTCACTGACTTAATGTCAAAGACAGAGGTACTCCTAAACAAACAGATACACAATAGCAGTGCGGCACGCGAGTACAAAGGAACATGGATAGTAATTGGAAGGGGGAAAACATTAGAAAGGAGTCCATGAGTTAGCTGACTCCTCAGGGGAGTCAGGAAAGGTTTCACAAGAAATCCAGGCTTTGGTAATGAGACTGTTAGTGGTACTTTAATTTTACTACTGTGTAAAATGGTCTGCAGTGAGAAAAGGAGACCTGAGATGCAGTCCTGGCTTTTCCATAATTAGCTCTTTGATCTTGAACAAGGCAGTTAATGGGGTCTCACTACCCCATCTGCGAAATCAGAAGTTGGGCTAAAACATTGGTTAAGTTTAGTTCCTTGGAACACTTCCCTGGCTGCTATTGAAAGTGGGTGCAAGGAACAGTGATACCCCCCACCCCATGCCCCCCTCCACACTCAACTTCTCCCTCCCTAAGGCAGAGTAATTTAGCTTTCATCTGTTTTGCATATTGGGTTTCTGAATAAGGCTTTATTTTATTTTAATGAAGAAAGTTCGTTGCCTAAAAAAAAAGTTTGACTACCAATAGTTTATCTGATCTCTAAATCTAAACATTATGAAGCTTGGTTAATTTAGCTAATTGATACAAGTTACCCTCACTCCATCCTCATTGTTAAAAAAAAAGGTCTCAAGAATTTTTTTGGTTGAAAAATGTGAAAGTGAAATATTACATTTATTGCATTATTTTTTTAACATCCTTATTGGAGTATAATTGCTTTACAATGCTGTTAGTTGCTGCTGTATAACAAAGTGAATCAGCTATACGTATATATCTATCCCCATATCCCCTCCCTCTTGCGTCTCCCTCCCACCCTCCCTATCCCACCCTCCCTATCCCACTCCTCTAGGTGGTCACAAAGCACTGAGCTGACCTCCCTGTGCTATGTGGCTGCTTCCCACTAGCTATCTGTTTTACATTTGGTAGTGTATATATGTCCATGCCACTCTCTCACTTCGTCCCAACTTACCCCTCCCCCTCTCTGTGTCCTCAATTCCATTTTCTACATCTGCGTCTTTATTCCTGTCCGGTTCCCAGGTTCTTCAAAACCACTTTTTTTTTGTTTAGTTTTTTAGATTCCATACATATGTGTTAGCATACAATATTTGTATTTCACTTTCTGACTTACTTCACTCTGTATGACAGACTCTAGGTCCATCCACCTCATTACAGACAACTCAGTTTCATTTCTTTTTATGGCTAATATTCCATTGTATATATGTGCCACATCTTCTTTATATATTCACCTGTCGATGGACACTTAGGTTGCTTCCATGTCTTGGCTATTGTAAGTAGAGCCACAGTGAACATTGTGGTACGTGACTCTTTGAATTATGGTTTTCTCAGGGTATATGCCCAGTAGTGGGATTGCCGGGTCGTATGGTAATCCTATTTTTAGTTTTTTAAGGAACCTCCATACTGTTCTCCATGGTGGCTGCACCAACTTACATACCCACCAACAGTGCAAGAGGGTTCCCTTTTCTCTACACCCTCTCCAGCATTTATTCTTTGGAGATTTTTTGATGATGGACATTCTGACTGGTGTGAGGTGATACCTCATTGTAGTTTCGATTTGCGTTTCTCTAATGATTAGTGATGTTGATCATCCTTTCATGTGTTTGTTGGCAATCTGTATATTTTCTTTGGAGAAATGTCTATTTAGGTCTTCTGCCCATTTTTGGATTGGGTTGTTTTTTTGATATTGAGCTGCTTGTATATTTTGGAGATTAATCCTTTGTCAGTTGCTTCGTTTGCAAATATTTTCTCCCATTCTGAGGGTTGTCTTTTCATCTTGTTTATGGTTTCCTTTGCTGTGCAGAAGCTTTTAAGTTTCATTAGGTCCCATTTGTTTATTTTTGTTTTTATTTCCATTTCTCTAGGAGGTGGGTCAAAAAGGATCTTGCTGTGATTTATGTCCTAGAGTGTTCTGCCTGTGCTTTCCTCTAAGAGTTTTATAGTGTCTAGCCTTACATTTAGGCAAGGGGTTTCTCTGGATCTTTTGTGTTTCCATACAAATTGTGAAATTTTTTGTTCTACTTCTGTGAAAAATGCCGTTGGTAGTTTGATAGGGATTGTACTGAATCTGTTGATTGCTTTGGGTAGCGTAGTCATTTTCACAGTGTTGATTCTTCCAATCCAAGAACGTGGTATATCTCTCATATCTCTCCGTCTATTCGTATCATCTTTACTTTCTTTCATCAGTGTCTTATAATTTTCTGCATACAGGTCTTTGTCTCCTTAGGTAGGTTTATTCCTAGGTATTTTATTCTTTTTGTTGCATTGGTAAATGGGAGTGTTTCCTTAATTTCTCTTTCAGATTTTTCATCATGAGTGTATAGGAATGCAAGAGATTTCTGTGCATTAATTTTGTATCCTTCTACTTTACCAAATTCATTGATTAGCTCTAGTAGTTTTCTGGTAGCATTTTTAGGATTCTCTAGGTATAGTATCATGTCATCTGAAAACAGTGACAGTTTAACTTCTTTTCTGATCTGGATTCCTTTTATTTCTTTTTCTTTTCTGATTGCTGTGGCTAAAACTTCCAAAACTATGTTGAATAATAGTGGTGAGAGTGGACAACCTTGTCTTGTTCCTGATCTTAGAGGAAATGGTTTCAGTTTTTCACCATTGAGAATGATGTTGGCTGTGGGTTTGTCATATATGGCTTTTATTATGTTGAGGTAGGTTCCCTCCTGGCTACTTTCTGGAGAGTTTTTATCATAAATTTGTGTTGAATTTTGTCACAAGCTTTTTCTGCATCTATTGAGATTATCATACGCTTTTGCTCCTTCAATTTGTTAATATAGTGTATCACATTGATTGACTTGTGAATATTGAAGAATCCTTGCATCTCTGGGATAAATCCCACTTGATCATGGTGTATGATCCTTTTAATATGCTGCTGGATTCTGTTTGCTAGTATTTCGTTGAGGATTTTTGCATATATGTTCATCACTGATATTGATGTGTAGTTTTCTTTTTTCATGACACCTTTGTCTGGTTTTGGTATCAGGGTGATGGTGGCCTCATAGAATGAGTTTGGGAGTGTTCCTCCCTTTGCTATATTTTGGAAGAGTTTGAGAGCATAGGTGTTAGCTCTTCTCTAAATGTTTGATAGAATTTGCCTGTGAAGCCATCTGATCCTGGGCTTTTGTTTGTTGGAAGATTTTTAATCACAGTTTGAATTTCAGTGCTTGTGATTGGTCTGTTTATATTTTCTATTTCTTCCTGGTTCAATCTTGGAAGGTTGTGGTTTTCTAAGAATTTGTCCGTTTCTTCCAGGTTGTCCATTTTATTGGCATAGAGTTGCTTGTAGTAATCTCTCATGATCCTTTGTATTTCTGCAGTGTCAGTTGATACTTCTCCTTTTTCATTTCTAATTCTGTTGATTTGAGTCTTCTTTTTTTTTCTTGATGAGTCTGGCTAATGGTTTATCAATTTTGTTTTTCTTCTCAAAGAACCAGGTTTTAGTTTTATTGATCTTTCTGTTTCATTTCTTTTTCATTTAAATCTGATCTTTATGATTTCTTTCCTTCTGCTAACTTTGGGGGTTTTTGCTCTTCTTTCTCTAATTGCTTTAGGTATAAGGTTAGGTTGTTTATTTGAGATGTTTATTGTTTCTTGAGGTAGGATTGTATTGCTATAAACTTCTCTCTTAGAACTGCTTTTGCTGCATCCCATAGGTTTTGGGTTGTCGTGTTTTCATTGCCATTTGTTTCTAGGTTTTTGTGGGGTTTTTTGCGGTACGTGGTCCTTTTACTGCTGCGGCCCCTCCCATTGTGGAGCACAGGCTCCGGACGTGCAGGCTCAGCGGCCATGGCTCACGGGCCCAGCCACTCCGCGGCATGTGGGATCCTCCCAGACCGGGGCACGAACCCGTGTCCCCTGCATCGGCAGGTGGACTCTCAACCATTGCGCCACCAGGGAAGCCCTCTAGGTGTTTTTTGATTTCAGTGATCTCTTGGTTATTTAGTATTGTACTGTTTAGCCTCCATGTATTTGTATTTTTTACTGATTTTTTTCTGTAATTGATATCTAGTCTCATAGCATTGTGGTTGGAAAAGATACTTGATACGATTTCAATTTTCTTAAATTTACCAAGGCTTGATTTGTGACCCAGGATATGATCTATCCTGCAGAATGTTCCATGAGCACTTGAGAAGAAAATGTATTCTGTTGTTTCTGGATGGAATGTCCTAGAAATATCAATTAAGTCTATATTGTTTAATGTGTCATTTAAAGCTTATGTTTCCTTATTTATTTTCATTTTGGGTGATCTGGCCATTGGTGAAAGTGGGGTGTTGAAGTCCCCTACTATGATTGTGTTACTGTCGATTTCCCCTTTTATGGCTGTTAGCATTTGCCTTATGTATTGAGGTGCTCCTCTGTTGGGTGCATAAATATTTACCATTGTTGTATCTTCTTCTTGGATCGATCCCTTGATCATTATGTGCTGTCCTTCTTTGTCTCTTGTAATAGTCTTTATTTTAAAGTCTGTTTTGTCTGATACGAGAATTGCTACTCCAGCTTTCTTTTGATTTCCATTTGCGTGGAATATCTTTTTCCATCCCCTCACTTTCAGTCTGTATGTATCCCTAGGTCTGAAGTGGGTCT